AATCTTGCATTTGAGATGTTAACTGGGAAAGTAACCAAAACATTGGTGCGTCCTTCATAGATGTGGAAGGGCTTGGTGGTACTGCCTCTGTAGACACGCTATTTATGCCATTATTTGATAACACATCCATGATATCGTCTGCCATTTTAGCTAATTCTTCAAGGTCTGTCGTCCTAGAAGATATTGTTAGGATTTGTTGAACATTTTGTGGTAAACGTTGTAAGAACATCTGACGTAGAATTAACTCATCTACTTTGTGTGACCCAATCAACTGGCGCATATGTCTAAGTAGTTGAGATGGCTTTTTTGTACCTAGATCACACGAAGTAAGTAGTTGTTGTATGCGTTTCTCATCGGAGAGAGTGGTCCGCTGGATGAGTGCAGCTTTTAGTTTGTCATATTGAGAGTCTGTAGGTTTGCTGTCTATGACATCGATAACCTCTCGTAGTACTTCCGTGGGAATTGCTGCTAATACGCAACCATACATGGCAATCTGCGACGTAATACCTCGAGCTGCAAACAACTGTTCAATGATTGTGAACCAGACACGTGGTTCAGCCAGATCAAATTGAGGAAAACTTAAATCCGGCAAGGCGTTAACAGCAAAGTTCTGTGTCTCTTCGCCTTTATTACCTTCTTCAGCAACAGTGGTACGTTTAGGTGGAGCCATTGTCATATAATATATAAGTATAGAGATATACAAAATAGCAAAACTTGTGGTAACAAAAATTAAAGCAATGCGCGTTTATAAGGCCAAAAAAGCAACAAAAATGTTCAAAACGAGTTAACTATCGAAACAAAAAGGTTCGGAAACGGGTTGACCATAAAAAAGGTTCAAAACGGGCTCGCCAATTATTGTGGTGAACTTTTCACTCGGTTAGCTCAGTTACCCAAATTTAAATAGAAAATAAAATACCAAATCAGTTTAGTTACGGGAAGAATGTATTAAAGTTTGGTTACTTGGGTTTACAAAGATCCAAAGTCCACAATAAACGTTATAGACTCCAGGTGCTGCGGGAAGACTGCTCCAGTACTAATTCTCCAATGTTGACGTTGCCGGAGGTCGACCAAAGTACGTAGGAAGAACTACGGTGCTCCTGCAAAAATTTGAGATGGAAAGCAGGTGATTAAAATTGATCGACGGCAGTTGAGATGGTGGAGAAGATGGAGAGTCGAGGGCAGAACTATATATTTATTCTAAACCCGAGGTAAAGTCCAAAGTACAGAGTTTATGGTTAAAAAAAGTAGTGTACAATATGTTCATTTCTTACATAGTAGTAAAATTTGGATAAGTTTATTTTTGTGGGATCCACAGGAGTACCGAAAGGCGGGGATTCTTGACGGGAAGCCTTCAGCTAAACAAGTCGAATTAAACTCTAATTGTCAGCATTCAATGTTCACTGATGATTCTTATGGTCATGATGTAATTCATCTCTTAGACATAATCTATTCCTATGGTCAATAATTTTGGTGAGTTATTTACGTCTACAGCTCACTCCCTCCTAGTGAGGTTATGAGGACCCTAAGACAGAACCAGCCAGAAGTGAAAAATCTCAATGGTTCCCTTTCGGGTGAAAAAATCTTCCGAGCGGCTTGGTGGCGTGCCTACTGGTCTGTCTGCCTATGCTAATAGGGTGTTTGTACATCGCTTCCTTGATGTTGTTCGTTGGATCCCGTGCTTCGTTTGTTTCTTGTCCAGTGCCCGTCGCACCTGGAAAGGAAAACAAGAACGCTAAGAACCTTGTTGAGTAAAATGTACCAAATTGGCGTTTAAAAAAATTATGTGCATCTAGCATGCGGTGAAATAACGCAAAGTTTAGAACATCGAAAAAGTAAACATCTAAATTTTTTAGTGCATGTAAACTGTACGGTTATAAAAAATTGTTTTACTTGTGTTTAGTGATTCTATATCGAAAAATTGATGTCTGAAAAGAAACAAAAATAATTAATACCGCAAACAAATGAGGTGGGTGAATAGCACCACTTAGTTACGTTATATAGGTGTGAAGATATTCTGGGAACCTTACGGTACGTTCGGGATGGGTTTTCTTAGGGGGCTCGACAGAAGATTCGGTAGCTGTCGCCATGTTAGTGACTTCTTCGAGGACTAAACGATCTTCGGCTACTTGTGGATTATGAGGTACGCTTAGCTCTATGCTAGTAGGATTACCTTCCAAGTAAGCCGGTTTCAGACGGTCAGGAGCAAGCCGTCGTGCTTTAGATGTTACGGGCTGTCTTGAGGTTATGATGTGGTGCATAACATTGCTGGTTATGCACGGTAGGTCATTAGGCGAACAATTGAGATCCGGATATTCATCAACAATCGGTTGAAAAGCTGGATCAAGGATCGCCTTTATCTTAACGAGTGACAAGCTGTGGCCTATGTAGGTGGTTCCTTTGATAGACGGACTAGTAGTACTATCAGTCAATCGTTTTCGGCGGTCGTCTACGAGTAAATCATGATGAATAAGTAGTTCCATGCTAATGATGGGCATTGTGACGTCAGCGAGAAGGAAAATCCACCGAATAGGTTTGCGTAAACCTACGTTCAGATAGACGTATTTCCTACCAAAGGTTGCGATCAGTTTTCCATTTGCAGCCTGTAGGTTGACGGTAGGTTCCTTATGTCGATCTGATGCTGTAGCAGGAAGATCGCCGACTTCGGCGCCTGTGTCGACTAAATATCGAGTCTGGCTGATCACATCATGGATGTAACGTAGGCGGCTAGTTCCTCCGGCGACGGTTGCCGCCAACACGTGCCGGCGGGATAGTTTCCCACAGACTTTGAGACATTTCCAAAGTTACAAGGCTTACGGCAGCATTTCACTGCTTGGCCATAGGTGTTGTGGTACCAGCACCAGTCAGGCTTTTTCGGTGAACGTGGCTTGTACTTGGATCGACCAGGTGAGTTTCGCCGTTGAGAGGATTTAGGACGACGGTCGGAGGAGTCAGTATGCATGTTTGACCTAAACATCTGCTGGATCGAGTTGCACAACTCTATCGCTGCAATATACTTACTCGAAGCCTGCTTGGCCACCGAGTATATTTCGGGAACTGACCGTTTAGTTATTTCTAGAATCTTATCTGCAGAAGTAGCCAAGTCATCTATAATAACACCTCCTGAGTTGCTTACCTCGGGACTCGACATCTGCGCAGTCACGCACTTGCTGAATTCCCGCGGTAGGGCGTGAATAACTGCAAGGAATTGTGAACGTTGATCGGTTATCTCATGCTCACAGAAATGTGATTCAGCTATCTGAAACCGCTTTTCATCATTATCTGGCCAGTACAGTACGAGCTGAATGGTTTTAGGAGTTGAGCGAATACGAATGACCTTGGGACAGGATCACTCATGACGAAAAGTATACCGAATAAAATATAGTACAAGAACAAATACAAAAAGAAACGAACTCACCTGGGTTATCTACACATTTATTGAAGATGAAGTTCGCAGTTGGGCTCACCATTTTAGAGGTTGACGGTATAGACGTTCGCGAACAGTACTGAGTATATTAACGCAAGATCTTATACCAGTAACTTCTATCTTATTCGATTCTCGTGTACCAAAGGCAAAGCGAAACACCACAACTGATTGTCCAAATTACGAGATATGTTTCGGAACCAAATCGCGGACTAAAGCGAAAGCCAAGCTAGCTAGTTATCGTGCACGAAAGTGACAAGATGGAGTACCGAATGGCGGGGATTCTTGACGGGAAGCCTTCAGCTAAACAAGTCGAATTAAACTCTAATTGTCAGCATTCAATGTTCACTGATGATTCTTATGGTCATGATGTAATTCATCTCTTAGACATAATCTATTCCTATGGTCAATAATTTTGGTGAATTATTTACTGCTACAGCTTTGACACAATTTGTGGTAATGTCTGATCGGTTATCGTTTAATCCTCGGTTTCGACGATTGCATATGCATATTTAAGTTATAAACTGAGACTTCACGGTTGTTTTTTGTCCCTAAAATGTTTTCACCGTTGTTGAATGTGAATACTTTTAATATGCCAAGACAGCCATGCAGCGACACAAGTACTGCATCCAATCGCCCTCTCCCCTTAGAATGTCATACACCATCTGCGGTAGACAATTAATCTTGTCGTTTTTCTTCATAACATTCTCTCCCGTGTTACTCTACTGATAACTATAACTACACTAATTATAATTATCATTATTACCGATATATATATGTATATATATATTATTCTTCAAATTTAATCAGCCTACTTTTGTTACGTTTTCTTATTTCTTTTTCTGTCTGTTAGTCTGAATAACTTCACTAATTACATCTATTATTATTATCACTTTTCTCTTGTCGACGATACCGGAAGGCTAACTGATGAAATGATCAACTCCATTCACAAAGCACATATAATTAATCCCAGCACACTGCACCAATCAGTGCCACTATATATGAAATCCACTTAGAGATAACCTTTCAACTTACCATAATTCCTGTCCAACCACAGATAGAGTGAAATTTCACTCTTCACTCTTCATTGAATGATACTATGCCTAAAGGTGCAGCTTCTAAATGGAGTAAACGATTTGTGTAAATGGCATTATCCTATAACTATCCTATCTTCCTCATTACACCGACATTTTGATACAGTCCACCTGAAACACTAATCATTGCAACCAATATGCTAAAAATGTGTCGCAGTCAGATCACGTGATGCGGACACCAACATAACTAGCCAAAAATGGGAATTTCCATCAATCTAGATAACATATAACACAATTTTATTAAAAATTATCGGCAAAAATATTTCCAAGCGGAATTCAACATTACGTGATAAATAAGTCCAGCCGCACTACTCCCTTTGGAGTTAACTAAAGCTGAGACAGTCAAATGGCGGGACGAGCTACGCAGAAGTTTACCGAAGATCAGGAACCTAAACCTTACAACCAAGAGGCGAGCACAAAGAAATCAAATTGTTTTATACTAGCTCGTGAAAACGATATTGGATATTGGATAATGTGACCTTGATACAGTAATTGGCGATTATCTAAAATTTTGCACATGAGCGCATTTTCTCTACATCTTCTTAGTAAAGAGAATTTTTTAAAGGTGAACATACCTGTGATAAAATTGATTCTACTTCCGTTCAGAATGCTGCAGGATTGTTGTGCATTTTTAGCATTGTTGCATCCTAAAGTAGATAGATATTGTTTAAACAATATCTTATCTCAAAGAAATTTCTTTGAGATAAGTTGGTTCTGTCATTTAAGTATAAGTAACAAGGTTCTTTATCCTTTAAAAACATTTAATTGTCCTTCATAATTAGTGTTGTATATTTTGTCATGTGGGATATTTTGATATTGAGCATGTAGAATTTTACTATTTGTTTTTTTTAGTTTATAAATTCGGACATAATTGGACTGGGGAGTGCTCTGAATATTTGTATTCCCACAGAACTTTATGCCGCCATTAAACGAGGCTCTTGGAAAATCTCAAAGTTCTGCAGTGGATATATCCTGATTGTTGACACATTTCCTGAAATGAGTGTTTCAAATTCAGATTGTTTTCAATCCATTCCGAATAAGTCGAGGACTTCGTGTGATATATTGTTCTGGCGTGGTCATATCTACGAGTCAACTGATGTGAATCTGTCACGAGATGTTGGTCATTTTCTGGATGAACTTTCCAGTAACAAAAGTGTGGATAATGTTATACAGTTAATAGGCTCTCTAAGTGGTTCATTTTCGCTGATATTTATAGATGTATGTTTGGGTAAAATATTGGTTTATTTATCAAAACTGCGCAGGTTGAATATGGAAGAATCTACTTCGCAAGAGACCGATTTGGCCGCCATTCTGTTGTCGCTAAAAGGTTTCTGGGAGCAAAAGAGGATCAATTCCACATTAGCCTTATTTCAAGTAATGTTATTTTCAGTACTCCCACTTTGTCTGAAGCTTCCTTAAAGTCACTCGTGAGTTTAATTTCTTAATTAACAAGTAACGTGATTTGCAAAATGAATCAACGTTTGAAACGGTTTGTTATGTTCATTAATTGTATTCAGTTTGCATGATGTGAGCAGTGTTAAGTGGTTTTCTATAGTTATTTAATTGTTTACCAGAAATCTATAGCCGCTTACTGTTGTCATTAAATAATAATTTGTGCACTATATTCTCAGTTCAATGAAAATTTCTGGTTGAACACTGTAGTAAGTCACTGTATTAAGTAACGTGTGATTTGCGAGTAACATCCGTGCAATATCTGATAAATGTAAAAGTGTCACTAGTGTAAAATTTCTAGTCAGATAGCAATGAATTTATCTGAATTTCTCTTTATGGATTGTTGGATTTGTATGTCTAAAGAATTCTTTGTAATTTAAGGAGCCACGAGATCGGAAAATGTCGACTTTCCTTGTTCATTGAGTTTATACTTATATAACAAGTATGTTTTGTCCTAACCTTCGGATCGGAATTGTTTGGACAATGAAGTTGTCTGTGCTCACGGACACAGGATTTTCCGCTGCATTTTGCAAAGTATTTGCTTCATGATAAATATAATATACTAGCAGTGACTTCCCTGTAATTCCTGTTTTGTCTTTCCGCCTCTCTTGTATATGAGCACATTCACAACAGACAGTGTCTTTAATTAATGAATAATATACGTAAGTAATGTTGTTGAGTTTTCTGATCTGGCCGGTCTTATAGAGAAGCTCCCATTGTATTTCTTGATAAAATCTTTAACTGTAAATCAATTGTTAACTGAGCTTTCGGGATTCTGCATAGGTGATCTGTCTTTGTTGATGGCGTTGACTTCGATAAATTGTTCCTGGAGACTTTCTTAGGTTCGCATTCATCTGCAGTGTTATCGATATAGTTGACAGTTTGATTGTCTAACCTTTTCATTGTCTAGAAGGTTAGTACGAGCTCAATTAAGCTGTTCAGCCTAGACAACACAACAATGCAGACAATCTACTTATCTGACATACATTGTTTTTAGCGACGACTTATTCTTCATGCGAGAGTGACTCTGTGGATACAGCTATGACTTGGAAAATGCAATGAAAAAACTTGTTAATGTAGTTCGCTGTTAATGAAAAGACGTAGAATATTTGGTGGAAATGGTTTAGAAAGCCTGATAACTGTCACCGCAGCTCTTTGTCGATTGACTTTAACCGCCTGACGTTAATTCTAAAAGTACATCACAATGATCAGTCTTCCAGTTTATTTGTGAATACATTGCAAATTGTTTGATAGAATTCAGTCTGTACCAACACTGAGGACTAGACACATTAGCCTATTTACCCCTTCTCCCAGTTACCAATGTTGTGAGAATGTTTTTATATTCAATCATTAGTAGGAGAAATACAGTAATATAAGAGTATTAACTAGACATTTACACTTATATACAGACAAATATGTTTAGAATACACCGGAAACCATAATAGGATCAGGGTGACCACTGTTTCGCACACAAAATGCCAATTTGCGAGCTTGAGTTACACAAGATTCCACAAGTGCAAACATATTTCTGTTGTCTACCAACAGTGTTGATCATATTGCTGTTATCAGTGTATGTAACTCACTAGATGCTCCATAGCAGAGCCTCTTAAAGCGAAATGTATCCTTTTTTGTAAGACAAACTGAGAACCTACTCAGGTTCAAGAACACGCCACTAATTGATGCTGAATTGTAGGTTAACTCCAATACTAATCAGTTGTATTCGGCTGACTTCCTCAGGTTGTTAAGAATCAGTGTCTGACGAAATGACTCTAAGTCATCCTCAGTAGCTTAGATACACTCATTATCATCCTAATTTTGAAGTCCCTATTAATCTCTATCCATTTATTCTTCCTCCAGTACTCTTGTCTATTGTAGCTTATGCGAGCTTTTCTGATATGTGGTAACTTCGGCCAATGCACGTATATGCACAGTTTTACTTTAGAATGTCAGTCAATTGTTCAACACTTTTCATTGTTTCAAACTGAAAACTTTTTAATACGACGGAGAGATCAAATAAGATGTTTATTAATTAAAACTATCTTTTATGTATGCATGTCTGAAGCAATTTATATCTTAGACTGGTGCGGCTGATAGCACCACTATGCATAAAAAGAACCAGCAATCACAATGGTACTACTTTCTAGTTGGTGGAATTAATACGTCTATAAAAGCTGAACTAAACGTATTCCCTTGTCATTTTTAGACTACCATTTAGATACTGAATTTTGTCAACCTGTTCATTTGTAATTTCTTTTTGTCATTTAGATAGACATTTGCAATTATAAATTGAACTGCTGTTCCTTTAATTTGTGTTTTATGTTTAATAAACGTTTTGTTAATAACCAACAAGGCTGAGTCTGTGGATTTGCCGAACAAAGTCAAACATTTAACCGCTTTTTAACGGTAATCAAACTAAAATTTACTAATTTGTAATTTGTGGTTTCAATCAATTACTGGCTTTTGATTTTGTAAGGGAAGTTATATCTTTAATATACATGTAGCCAGGATGCTATATATGAACATATGCATAGATCAATACTTTGTATTCATACTTACATATTTTACTCTCTGTAGGTTTCCTAATTACTTTTTGTTCATTGATTGATAAATGATTTAGTACCATTTCAGTGTATTCATTTCTTTTCAGGAAAATAATGCACAAGATTGGTTTGAGATTCCAGCTAGCGGAATATTTGTTTCACAAATAGCGTTTGCTAAGGACAGTATTTTCCTTTCAGATATCAGTTTATACCCATGGTCTAATGAACATTTAACTTTGTGCCCATCCAACTTTCCAGTTTCTGTTGGTCGGATTTTACACAAAAATGAGAGTTACATTGGCATAACTCTACCGTCATTAGTACTTACAACTCTCAAAGAAGCGCAACAGGAATTTTTGGATTTATTACTCACTGTCATACGTGACTCAGTCAACTGGGATTTGTCTTTTGATAAAATATCTAACTTGTTGAATTCTCCTGATGAGAACTGGTCAGGATCATTTTTCGGTTTACTGTTCAGTGGTGGTTTGGACTCTTCTGTTATTGCAGCGTTAGTTGATAGGTAATAAACTGCATTAATCCTTTTGAATTTTTATTTATTTATCTACAGTGCTTTTTACCTTTCATATACTTTATTATTGTATGGTTACGTAAACAGCAAAAAGAATCTTCCAAACCATTGTATATGTTACACTTAAGCGAACCCCTCCACTTTCTTTTATTTTCTTAATGGAAATAATCAGGTAAATATTTTAATGGCACATATACAAAACAATACACTATCATTTTAATACGATACACCCTTATTAATGTTAGCGAACTACGAAGCTTTTATGGCAAATGGTGAGTTTACATTCTGAATTACACTTGACTGTTAAGAGGCGGAGGTATCGATATAGGTTTACTTTTTCACTTACTTATTATTACAAAACAAAAATGACAATATATTCTGCTTTCCTACATTTAGCAACACTCATTCAATCTGAACAAACCCGGTCATTACTGACTGCCTATGGGATTGGGATTTAGTGAGTAGCGGTGAGCTGTTGGATCCTTCAAGTCAGTTATAAAAACAGATACTGATGACACTAGATGGATGTGGCTTTGTTTTTCTGGTGTACAGAAGTTAGAATTTATGAGCCATTGGATTTTGACTTAGGGATGAAATGGTAAGGTTCACTTCATATGTCCTAAAAGTCCCTGGGTGTATACTGCTAGAGGGTGCCGAACTAGAACAAAACAGCTGCCCAGTGCTGTTTAGTTTTCAGTGGTTACCAAATCCACCTTTAAATGGTTCCACTTCTGCTAATTTTATTTTATATACAGCTTGACGACAAATATTTGAGTTCTTATTAAAAATTCAAGTGTAACTGTTAAAGAAGCTGAGGCTTTCATAGCAAAACCTTGTCATTATTTCTTACACATGCTGAGATTATATTAAGTAATTTAATAATAATGTACTACTTAAATTTAAGAAGATTTGAAGAATCTCATTATTTTAAGATAGAAAAGAGGATGTTAATAAGTAAATGAAATTGTATGCATTCCTAGTCTTTCATTTTTTTGGTTATCTCTTGTTCACGCATATCGATATGTTAATACTAAATTTCAACTATTAATAATAAAGCATTAAGTATTGGTCTGTAGGGATTTGGTTGATTGGTTAACAGGATTTCATCATGAGCTGACATTAGTTAGAGAACCATTGGAAAACCTGGGAGTACTGGACAGATGTTTTGTCCCAGTTTGGGACTCTTCAGCAGTACGCACCAATCGGGATTCGAAACCAGGACCTTCCGGCTACAAGGCAAGCTCGTATACCACTAAGCCACTGGGACCCGATACAATGGCCCATGAATTCTAACTTCTGCCAATTCACGATATAGCGCGACCGCTAGCCAATGTCTTCGGCGAGTATTTGTCCTCGCACCCGACCTGCTGCACTCTACTGGTCACGACTTCTCACTAGAACCCCAGGTAACTACTTACCTGAGTAGGGCCAGTCTCCAGTGAGCATCTCATTGGTATTCAAGTTTTGGTTTGTAGGGATTTGGTTGATTGGTTAACAGGATTTCATCATGAGCTGACATTAGCTAGAGAACCATTGGAAAACCTGGGAGTACTGGACAGATGTTTCGTCGTAGTTTGGAACTCTTCATCAGTACGCACCCACCGGGATGATGGGTGATGATGATGAAATCCTGTTAACCAATAAAGCTTTATTTCAGACAGTATGCCAACACATAGTACAGTAATTTTCAGCGTATTTAATTTCAGAATATCTCCTCTTCATACAGCTTTTTTTATTCCTTTACGTTCCCAGTGGGCTTCAAGTCACAGCTTCACAGTTTCGGTAGCAGTACTGTTTATTTTCACTGGATGAGGTTGCTAGGCTCACGTCCAACCTTCCTTCTTCACCAGTCTTATCACTGGCTTAGCGAGGTAGAGAAGTGCGTTGGCTGGGGATCGAACCTCGGACCACAAACGTGGTTAGCGAGCATACATACATGTTTTGCATGTAAAATAATAATCTGAAGTATATCTGTGACGTAACTTTGTTGTATATAAAGGGAGAACTGATTCTCTAAGCTTTTTCTTCATTCCCTTCAAGAATTGCACCGCGTTTAGTTGGAAGCTAATTAAATACACACACGTGTTCTTGCAGTGGTCATATGATGTAAATGCACGACTAAAACAAGAAATATGGGGGAGTTTAGGCACTTTGATGGATGTAAATTCTCGTAGCCCAGAGATTTAAGCTGATCACCTCTACTGGATATGTCGAAAGTTGTTTTCATCAGTGTTTGTAAGCTGAGAATGCCTACTGATATGTAGCATACAGTTAGTCATATTTTGTTTTATCTGGGCTTTCAAACTATTTCGTTTTTCGAGTTGTTCTAATATACCGACCTGTTCACATATGTATGTATTTGGTACGTAAACTGTTTTCAAAAAGTTTAGCCTACTTATTAAGTATAAGTAACTTAGAAGAAAATGTTTCTTTTTTAATCTCATAGAAATTATTGTGTGGTTGACTTTACAAATATGCTGCTAACGAAAGTTCCCTTTTCTCTGATATATATATATATATATATATATATATATATATATATATATATTGTATATATATTTATATAATTCTTCATGAAATCAGCATCGCTACTGCTGAAAGATTTTTTGACTTGGCAGTTTATGAAAATTCGACTGATTTCTGAAATTGATTTTCATCATCTCTCTTTATCCACTCTTAAGCGGTTAAAAAAACTAGGAGCACATAATTAAAATTTAGTTTTTGTTTAAAATTGCTCAAAATAGGGTGTTCGTAATCTCAAATGAAATGCAGGTCAAGATGGTTATTGCTGGTGGCGGTGGCGGTCATATTACCATTTTGCAGCCCATGAAATCCTAAATCTACTGAGAGACAAACTTTATCACCATCGGCTGAGCCACTTAGATGAAAATCATTCCACTTACCAAATGCCATACAAAGATGGTTAATTTAAGCCCGTGAGTTGTAGTACTCGACTTGAAGAAATCTGTTCTTAGGAGTATGTTAGTTTAATCACAATGAACACGGAAAACGATAGCACTGCTATGCATAGAATGGCTCAGAAGTATGGGAACAGGTTAACAGCCATGAAGAAGAATATGGTGAGGTGGAGATGAAAGTCAATGCCTAAATCCTTTTTGATGCAATTAGCGCTCATCACGTTCAGTAAGAATAGGTCACACCCTTTTCATGAGTGAAATTCTATCACCAAAATCAAAGGAAAAGAAAGCTATCCAACCATATGAATAAAGTCGAAATATAATCATGAGTAGCAGATTTTTCTCGAAATGTCACCTACTTGATAAATTATCTCAGATGAAGTTACTCTACCACAGTGAGCAAGCTTTTCTACATGTCTCCTTGAAATTGTATAGTCGCTCAAGTCATTATCGTTTCTTTCTAAATGACTAACGTGATAGTAAATTTAAAGAAGTTTCTCGTATTTTTGTTGGCAAAGTATGACGTCTATAGCTGCTTATCATCCTAAATTATTCCTTTATATCTGCAAAATGGCCTTCGACAGCGTTGACCAAGAAATAATTGGGAAACTACTTCAAAACTACGGCGTGCAGTGCCCCAAATCTCCATCAACCACATTCAATAACCATATGACAGCGACACGTGTCAGGCAATTCACAACGAAAACTCAGCGGTGCCTTTGAAGGGAACAGAGGAGTAAGGCAAATTGGCTATTAATTATCAACCAATGATATTCCTAAGTATGGTTGACTGGATTGTGCGTCAGACTGTGCGAGGGGGGGGAGTGGGAAGACAGGGATACTCTGGACCACCGATGAGAAGACTGTAGAAGATATGCATTTCGCGTGTGGATGATTTGTGTTTAATGTTACGCAAACTGGAAGGCTTGCTGGCGAAAACCAACAAACTGGCTGAAGAGTCAGACTGTAAAGACAGGACTCCAGGCGAACACAGAGATGACGGAGGTGATGAAAGTAACCAACCACCACCACCAACAACAACAACAGGCATCATCCACTATCATTGGAAGAAATTTGAAAGATGTTACTTCCTTCACTTATCTGGGAAGCATCATTTCAACTACAGCCACACTGAACGGATGAGGATGTCAAAAACAGAATCAGAAAGGAAAGACAGACCTCCATCACTCCTAAATCAGTTTGGAGATCTTCTTCACTCCGTGGCATAAACAACAAAATTAAGATTTTCAACAGTAATGTTGAGTCAGTTGTTCTGTGTGGGTCAGAAACTAGAAGTGCTGGTCTCGAAAAGCACTTCCAACATACATGCCATTGCAGACGTTTGTCAACAACTGCTGTCTCTGGTGCTGTATTGGAGATGAAATGGCGACAAGGGACCAGCATCAAGAAACTCTGGCCACTGACCAACCATGAACGTAGCGTTCAACATGTATTTCGAAGAAACTCAAGCTGGGTCGGACACACACTGAAGTAGGCAGTTGAATATCATCGCACTCCAGGCTATCGCCTAAGTGGGACCAAAATGGGAAGCGATGAGTTGGGTGTCACTTCAAGAGTGACATGGAGGAGATCGTGAGGGGAACAGATGAAAGACTATAGGCAATTTTTGGGCTGTCTAAAGGCGACTGCAGAAAATAGGACAAAATGAGGATTTGTTGTTGAAGCCCTATATTCCACTGGGAACCCAAGGGAATAATAATGCCACAATAATGTGTGCAACATCATATTGTTGTTCAGCAGTATTATGAACCTGCAAACAATAAAGATTGATATTGAAAGTAATCAGATAGTTTCCCAATATCAGTAGAATAGCTCTTAAATCAAAGGTTTGTCGCTCTGTCTGGACTTTCAAATTTTACTGTTTAGTGGGGTATAATTTTTGTCTGATAAGTATAGTGTCACTTTGTTCAGCTGCTTAAGTGTTATTTGAAGCCTTATATGTATTTTTTATTTCCTTTCAGATGTGTTCCTACAAACTACTCCATTGATTTGATCAATGTTGCTTTTCAGAGAGTATGCCCTAGTCAATCTACTAATGATAAGTAAGATTAATTTTTTAATTTACATTTTTTTCATACATACTAAAAATGTATAAAATAATAGAAACTGTAAGGACATTTTGGTCTCGATCATAAATTAATACCGACACCCATATACCATTACCTAATCTACTTAAATACATAAATAATGTTTTACTGAAATACTATTCAACTCATGAACTTATATGTATGAATGGTTTAGCAGCATGGAGGATACCATCAGTCTAATTGTGTATTCTATAATGGGAATGATTGACTGAGATTCTTTATTTTTAAAAATTTTATTCCTTTACGTCTCCAGTAGAACATAGGGCTTCAAGCCACAGCTTAACAGTTTCGGTAGCAGTGGTATTTATTTTTATTGGATGGGGCCGCTAGCCTCATGCTCAACCTTCCCTCTTTACTAGTCTTATTACTGTCTTAGTGAGATAAAGGAGTACGTCGGCCGGGGATCGGATCGTGGTTAGCGAGCATTCTACCGCTGTGCCACCGATGCACGGTGTTATAAGACATGTAAATCCAGGATTATGAGTGAGCTACAATTCTAACTTGGACCCCTTTATTGTAAGGTGATTACCTAATACTGCCAGCGGCAACATACAAGCTGAAACTTGACTGAACAATGTGTGTAGCGGCTTTAAATGGCATGGTATCAGATATCTTATTGATACAAAAAAGATGCTCTCTTAGAATAAATATATCAGTTAGGTGTCCATATTACTATATTTCAAGAAAGCAAACTGTAACTTTATAATAGGTAGTTGATTTTAGTTACTAATGTGGCCTTTATACTCATCAAATTTGTGTGGTTTATCATTGTTATATTCTCCGCTGGCTTTTTTTTTCACTCCGACAAGTTCACGTGACCATTTTAACTTCTTATAGTGTTGATGTTAAGTTAAATTTATGTTTATTTGCGAAAAGGAGAATGACTCATCTAGCACTAGAGAAAGCTTTCAGTGATTACACTAAATAGTAAAATGGATGTTAACTATAGAGAGTATATTTGTTTAAAGGGCTAGTTAATATGGGTCAGTAAAAATATGAGTGTTACATCCAGTTCAGCATCCATTAACTTACTGAAATATGAGTGTTTTATGATGCAGAAGTGTTGTTATATACTGGAGAAATGAGCGAGAATTGTTGGATTTTGTTACCTGAAGCCAAAAAGGGATGATAATTATGCTTGTGTTAACGCTTTTACCCTGAAGGTGTTGTATTACAATATGAAAGACAAGAGAGTTTCGCAATTACCCATCAGTAGAATAATGATATTACGATGAACAGATTACCATAAATGAGATAATGTGACTTTGTATGTAGCCACTCGAGTGAGCTGATATTGGAAAACAAAATGAGTCTCCGATTAAACACTTAATTTTATAGGATGTGGAATCAATATGACATTGGGTTTTATAATGTAAAGTGATTGAATTCGATTAAATACTTGTCTTTTAGGCCTAACTTTTGACTACCGTATTGAATTTAGGCATAAAATTTCTGTGTATTTTATACGTCATTTACACATCTGGTGAGTCTTGCAATCTTTAGAGGAGTTCTTTATTTCTTCGAGAACATGTAATCATGTAGTAAGCACATAAATCTGTTACTATGCTGAGGTAAATAGAATGGCTTTGAAAAAGTAACCATATTCTGTAGGCTAAGATACCAACAGCATGTGGTGAGGTATAGAAATGAACAGGCTTTGTCTTAACCCTGTTTCCGTTTGAATTCAAATAAGAAAGTTAGTAGCATATTTGTTATTATCGTTGTAGAGATGTGTCTCATCATCTCAAACAGTTGGCGTCAGAAATCTATTTTTTCTACGATGAAATATTTCTTTTGAACGACTTGATTTTCAAGCTGTTCACTCGTATATATACTATGGAAAAAGGCATTATATGACACCAACAGTTGTCCAGTCAACATACATACAATAAAAGTAGAGATAACGGTATTTTTAAGCGAGTAGAGTTGAAATGTATGAATTACAAAATTTTAAAAGATTATTAAATTACTGAATCGGTATTAAAATTTTAAAAGTAGGTCAAGTGTTATCAAAAATTAAAAGTGCGATTGTGATAACAACAAAGAAGGGAAAGATGGAGTAAAGTGGAATGAATCCAAGCAATATATATATATATATATATATATATATATATATATATATATTCAAAAAAATCAAGGTAAACAAAAGGGTTTATCCAAACCTTTTCTGAATATGTAATTTAGGTTTTTGTCCTTGCATAGCTAAGTCTTCAGCTATACATAAGTGGAGAAAACATAAACTTTTAGAATAATTGGATTTAGCTCTGTAAATAACTCTAAAAGGTAAATCGCGTGGGGCTGAATAACCTGACTCAGGAAAGTGTTCACAAATGAAAGACTTAGTTATCCTATCGTCGCTTTTCACTAACCAAACTTGGTTAGCGTTCAGCTACGCGTTTCCAGAGTCCTAAAAATTTGCTCAACAGATATTGTCGATCAATCGGATAAACCGACTTCATTTGTTGATCCAACCACACTGGTATGTGCTGTGTAGCTCCTCTCAATGTATGTGTGACCAAATGTACATGTAGGTTGGTAAACTCAGTCGGATGGGACATTACTGTCGAAATGCTGTAAGGATTTTCAGGAGGACGTAAGTTGTATTAGTTAAGCGAAGATAACTTTGGGTGAATTCTGTGGTTTACGGGGTATTGTTTTAAGTCTTTGTTTGACGATGCCCTTTGAACGGCGAGACAAAATGAATTATTTACAACATCTAATGGATTTCTTAAGATAATTGTTTTCTAACAATATTCTAGCGAAGTCTTTTATTCCCTCCTATAAACATTACTTTACTGTCCCGTGAACCTCAAGGTAGAACCACCAAATAAAGACTTAATAATAACAGCTTTATTCTAAATAGTGATTATGTAATTTATAGAATTTTCAGCGAAGTTTGTTTCATGATGTTTTCTCTTCGTCCACAATTTTCAAATAAAATATTAATTTAAGTGTTGCTTTTTCAGGGATTTAATTGGTTTCAGGATTTCATCAATGAGATGCTCACTGGAGACTGGCCCTACTCAGGAAGGTAGTTTCCTGGGTTCCAGTGGGAAGTCGTGACCAGTAGAGCGCAGCAGGTCGGGTGCGAGGACAAATACTCGCCGAAGACATTGGCTAGCGGTCGCGCTATATCGTGAATTGGCAGAAGTTAGAATTCATGGGCCATTGTATCGGGTCCCAGTGGCTTAGTGGTATACGAGCTTGCCTTGTAGCCGGAAGGTCCTGGTTTCGAATCCCGATTGGTGCGTACTGCTGAAGAGTCCCAAACTGGGACAAAACATCTGTCCAGTACTCCCAGGTTTTCCAATGGTTCTCTAACTAATGTCAGCTCATGATGAAATCCCAAAATATTAATTGACAGAAGATCTTGAGGCACAGTTCTATCTGACCTTAAGCGCGAACCAACCCATTATGATATTGCTTCTTTCTCTCCTTTGAGAAATACATGGCGACATGATTATGAGCAATAAATTGTGCTCGAAACGTCATCAGTTCATATAACTGTAAACACTGTGCGATTTATCAAAATAAAAATCTTATCTATAATGGAATTATACTCTACCACAGTGCCCAAGTTTTATACTTATATCGACATTTAGTTAATTGCCAACTATATAAAAAGTTCAAGAGTACAATGCGTCAAACAAGAATACAACCCAGGAATAGTTATCTCATGTATTGGGACAAGCTGCCATCCATGATAATATTTTTTTTCTCAAGTTTAGTATCAACTTGCAAATCAGCAAATTGTAAACGTTTCAAATACTCGCCAAAGTAAGCAACACTGTTAGAAGTCATATTTTACTACATTTAAACAAAATGAGTAGGAGAATGCAATAAATTGATGGAGCTTTTCGGTAGCCCGTGTTTTAATCAGGCTACAGTTACGTTTTTGTTGTGTAAGATATACAATGCAGTTAAATAAACCGATCTTAACAGAAATAACAAAATCCACATTCTCTTGTATGTGCATGAATCATGAATTGAGTTTTCATTTTCATTTTTCAGGCGTAAATGTGTATTTCAGCTGACAACACCCAATTACTGTCAGCTTTACTTTTTAATATACCAATCATTAAATCTCAATGAAGTAGTTGAGTAAAAAGCATCATAAAATTTACCTCAAAAAATAACAGGGTCTGTTGTTACGGAGGAAATATTTAGATGAAAGATGTTTTTAGTAATTCCTACTTATAATTGCACTAGTTAAACATTTAACTTGTCAATGCTCGTCTTTTATTCTGTATTTGTTTGGTTTTTATACATTTTAGCACTAACTTTCAAGATGGCAATAATTTAGTTTCAGCTGAAGAGGCTCCTGACCGACAAACTGCCCTAAAGAGTTATGAAGAGTTGTGTAAATTGTCCCCTCAACGCAAATGGAATTTAATAAAAGTGAGTAGTGAAGAGTGATTCACTATTTGTACGGCTACTATTTGTTTTAAAATATCAACCATTTCATTGTTGTATAGATATGATGGGGTTGCACAAAGTTTAGAAGTGTCTACATTAAGAGAGATCCTTATCGCATAAAATCCATTACTAATTTGTGTTATGCTCTGTTTTCACTCCATTTCTTCACCGTTTAACTTAACACATTGAATATAATTATGAGTGGTGTGCTTATAATCTGATTGGCAAATTAGTATTTCACAAGTGGAAATTGTTTTGTGTTTTCTAATATTTGATCGTGGACTTTATACCGTTAGGCTTTGTGACGTCTTCAGCACTAATTTCATTATAAAGTGATGTGTATTTACTATCTGCATGAATATTTGGTTAAGCATAGGACCTAGTGTTTTTAGAGTACGTGACCTGAGTGCGTTTACCATTCCACCCAAGTGTGGTTATTCACCTAACCCCACCTGGCCAACAGGTTGAATCTGCAAAATTCACCTTGAGGGTGTCAGGAGATGCCACAGCTAGTTCACGAGGATTAGCTGGTGTAGGGATAGCTTTGAGTACTAGGGCAGAAAAGACATTACTTGACTGGATCCCGGTAGATAGCCGAATGTGTGGTGTCCGTCTGAACGGATCAGTGAAAAGGAGAAAGGATTTCACTACTCGCCGATGCCTTTTCGTAATCTCCGTCTACGTCCCCACTGACTGCAGTTCGGATGAGACGAAGGATGAGTTCTACCAAAAGCTGTCTAGTTTGCTGCGAAAGGCTAAACGCTCAGACATAGTCGTTCTAGCTGGTGACTTTAATGCTCAAGCAGGGAAATTGTGTCAATCTGAGAAGGATGTCGGTGGCACCTATGGAGCTCCGTGCCAGCGAACCGACAACGGTGACCGTCTCCTACAGTTCTGTTCAGATAATCATTTGTTTCTTGTAAGCACTAACTTTAAACACAAGGAGAGACACTGTTTGACTTGGAGACCCCCTTCATCAAACCAACGCTGGACACAAATAGACCACATAGCAGTAAGCTATCGTTGGCGTGGATCGGTAGGAGATTGTCGTTCCTTCTGGGACACGTGTGTAGATACCGATCACGCACTGGTCCGCGCTCGGGTGTGCTTACGACTGAACGGACGTAGGAAACAGCCGGCGGTAAACCCATCACGTCCCCAGATCGATCAGGAAACTAAATCCCTATTTGAGGAAGAACTAGCTAAACACATATCTGTGTTCGACAGCTGTGCTCACCCTGAAGAAGTTTGGAAGAATATTCAGTCAGCCATAGATACAGCTGTAAAAGCTGTGAATAAGGTAAATTTAAAGGTGAATAAAAACCATTGGATTTCGACTACCTCATTCGAACTGATGGATGCTAGAAGACTTATTCCGGCGAGCTCCGAATTCAATGAGGAGCGAAAGTTGCACAAAAGGAAACTTACGAAAAGTCTCCGCAAGGACCGTGAACAGTGGTGGGTGACAAAGGCGAAAGAGATGGAAAAAGCATCGGCGATAGGTAACACTAGGCAACTCTTTAGACTCATCAGGGAAACGGGTGGGAGAAGGTAAATCATAAGTGAGACTATTTCTGAGAGAAATGGTTCCTTAATTAGCTCTCAGGATAGACGCCTTGAACGATGGAAAGAACACTTTCAGGAACAATTTAACTTGCCTACAGCCACACTGAACCTCCCCGTCATCCGGCACACACCCGAATGGGATATAAACACAGGTCCTCCGTCACTAACTGAGGTTACTAAAGCTGTCACCAATCTGAAACTAGGCAAAGCAGCGGGACCTGATGGAATGACTCCAGAGGTATTTAAGTACGGTGGAGACAGTTTACTGTCTGCATTAACTGAGGTACTAGGCAGCGTCTGGGAATCAGAAGAAGTCCCATCGGGTTGGTGTAAGTCACTGATTATCCCCATATACAAGAAGGGAGACAAGTCTTCCTGTGATAATCACAGAGGGATTAGCTTGACTAATATAGTATCTAAAGTCTTAGGCTCAATAATCATGCGTAGACTAAGTGGTGCTCGGGAGGCACAAACACGAGAGAGCCAGGCAGGCTTTAGACCAGGAAGAGGGTGTATTGATCATATCTTCACCCTCCGACAGATTCTAGAACATAGGCATTCTTACCGGCGTCCAACAATCATTATATTTCTTGACTTAAAGGAGGAATTCGATTCTGTCGACCGAGAGGTTCTCTGGCGATGCTTGGCTGTAAAGGGAATACCGAGACAATACATCTACTCGTCATCATGCAGCCAGGTGAGGGCTTACGGCGAGTTGTCATCTGAACTGGTGACGACTAGTGGTGTCCGTCAAGGATGCCCATTATCCCCATTTCTATTCAACTTCATCATAGATGTACTAATGGACTTAACCCTAAGTGACTTCAGCGACTCAGGGATTGACTTGCTACCAGGGAATAATCTCGTTGACTTAGAATATGCAGACGATATAGTCCTACTAGGCGAGGACGCTGACAAAATGCAAAGTCTTTTGAACACCTTGAGCTGCAATCTACGAATGTTTGGCATGCGATTCGCTCATGCCAAATGCAAGATGATGTTACAGGACTGGACTACACCGACTCCTAGATTAGAAATAGGGAGTGAAGTGGTAGAGCACGTTGACCACTTCACTTATTTGGGAAGTACCATCAGCCAACGCCAACGGGTTGATCTCTGACGAAATCTTAGCACGGATACAGGGGGCTCGTTTCGCATGTGCCAGTTTACGCCGACTCTGGCGTAAACGAGATGTTCGACTATCGACCAAAGGGCGGGTGTACTGCTCATCAGTCCGCTCCGTCCTCCTTTATGGCTAGCTGTGAGACCTAGCCACTGAGAGTGGAAGACATGAAAAGACTAGCTGTCTTTGATCATAGGTGCCTGCGTTCTATTTCCCGTGTAAAGTGGCATAATAAGGTGAGCAACATGGAGGTTAGGCGTAGAGTTCTAGGTAAACAGGGGAAATCAATCGACGAAGTCGTGAAGTTACAAAGACTGAGATGGTTAGGACATGTGTTACATATGCGTAGTCATCGCCTTCTTCGACTGACGGGCAATGTTAGCTGACATAGGATTGATCAGGTTGGAAGAGAGCTAGCTGTGGTCAAACTAAAACATGGCACTAGTCAATGAAATCCACAACAGTTAGTTTGAGCAACGTAGGAAGGTGTAGATTTCCTGGTTGGGTTCCTCGGGACTGTAAAAGCCAGTGGTTGGAAATAATTGGTGATATAGCTCAAAATCGTCCTCAATGACTGGCGGAGATGCATCCACTCCTTGTGACTTATAATTTCGAATGAAACTATATTGTTCTTCATTACTACTACTCTTTTGTCTCACACCTCTGTTTACTTCCTCTTTTATGCTTTTCTTGTACTTTCTTCTCTTGCTTTTTGTGCTACATGGAGTGTGGCGACTTGAACTGCCACACATATGTGCAAAGTTGTATGTCGAAAACAGACAGACCATTCCACCGTACCGAAAACATTGGTTAGCGATGATATGATGTCGTGAGTTGACGAAGCCTGGTGGTTGACTTATAATTCAACCTGCAGATTCTGGGAAGGACCTACGGGGTTTATGACACCAATGCTGATGAGTCGCAAACTCGAACGAAATAGCTATCTAATGCTTTTATTTTTCAACGATCCATTAAGTTATGTCAGTTTATTATGAAATATATATTGATATAATCTTTTATTTTTAAATTCTATCACGTCTACTCATGTGTCTGTTGATTACAGTTCCGTTTGAACATCATGATTATGATAATTCTCCTGCTAAATTTGAATTTCTATGTAAGACAACTATTTTCCCCCAGTCGAGGTTGTGATTTTAGTCAGCATACATTGACACCAAAGAAGAAATACAGTTTTTCTTTTTACCAGTTTGTGTTTGTGAATCTTCTGGGTAACCAGGCAACTGAACTGGCTGACATTGTGTTATGAACAGCTCTTGTCGCTTAATTAGTAAATTGTTTTTGTTTTGTCCTCCTTTAGACTTTACAGTAGATTTCACAGTAATTTAGTAATTTTATACACCACATTCCAAAATCGAATGGGTCAAATAATCGACTGATAGTATCTGAGGCGTCTTTGGTTTAGGAAAGTCTAATTCGCTTGCTGAGTTTAGATAGCTGTGTACTGTCTTCTCTCGATAAACATTGTTTTTTATGAAGTTGGCGGGGATAATTATTCGTTCTGAACACTTTCTTTGATTTTCTCCAAATCTTAAATCACCAGCTCATTGTATTATACAGAGAAAACAGAATTCTGATGACTAATGTATGGCGGTATTGACTTTTTCTGTGCTTTCCCATCTCGAAAAGTTTATTGGCGTGTTTGTTCTTTTCTGTAATGCGCCTGGTATTATGACAACCGTTTTTTCCTGGATGCTTGAGTTGATTAGTCCGTGTAAACATGTATGAAGCTGTACAAATTTTATTTTTATACACCAAAGTGAAATATTCTGCTTTTATGCCTTCCTGTACATTTGTTTTGAGCATAGTGAACTTGATGATTGTCAGAATAAGAATTAGAATTTCACGTTAATTATCTTCATGACCTATATGCTTCACATTGATGCGTTTTTAGTTGTGTATAGCATGACAAGTGTTTATTATCTAATTGATGTCATTCAATGTTCATTGTGTTCATCATTCCAAAAGTAACACTTTACATAGTATCTTTATATATCGTATTGAATTCACTTACTGTTATTTTCACAACCTCTTGTCTCATTAATATATGTGTAAAACTTGGATACTGTGGTTGTATGTAATTCTATATTAATTTGTTCATTAGATATATCACACAGTGAAACAGTACTATTTACTGCATGCCGTTTCGAGCACAATTTATTGTACGTAATCATATCTATTATAACCACACAACTTCGAAATATTTAGTTATGTTAATAAATTCAAGTGGAAGTCATTCGAAATCTCGACTCAAATGCTTATGAACTGGAACATA